TTGACAATGATCCTATGGTGCGCATTTCAAGCAAAAAGCTTAAAAAAGAGAAACTAACGGGTTAAAGAAAATGCCTTAAACAAAGGTTGGAAACTCATATCTAGAGGTTAAACCGGTTTACAGAAACGAGTTTGACTTTGGTGTAACTTATACTGAGAAGTATAACTAAAAACACAAATCAAAAAATTAAGTTAAATGATTTACTTCTGTTAAATAATATGCTAGCTAACTATATGGATTGTTATTGTGTTTTCACTCGTCAAAGTACGACCCTTTGCTAGCAACAGACAAGTGTCCCCTTGCATGCACCGCTTAATCCAAATTGACGGCCAAGACAACTAAGGATCCCGACGTAGCCAACCTGTCGAGTCGACATCTCCTTATGTCGACGCGAATGACGGTATTTGTCGATCCTCTTATCAAAGACGACTTGTAACGAGCCACTTGACCAGTTATTCAACGTCTCGCGAGGTCGATTCAAAAGGTGTTACTTCTCGATGAAGCTATAGGACGACTTCATTCTCGACCCTCTCCCACTGACAGCACGTCAGCGTCGCATTTTAATGCTTGGCAGGCGCATCATGCCTCTAGTCCCGATAGTCTTCATGACTCATTGGACCACATCAGCACCACTATGCCTCAGATCCTTCACATTTTAATGTTGAGGTGGTCTCTCCTCCACTCGCCGTCCAGCACGTGTAAAGTAGGTGTTGACGTAGCCGTCAGCCCATACTTCTTCACCGCTATCCTGCGCTCGACCGAAGTGTCCATTCTACCATTCCATCACCAACTATAAATAGAGTTACAATTCTCAATAGTGAGAGACTTTGGACCTTCAGATCTTTTATTGACTTTTTGGAATATCTGCTAATTATATTGCACTACACACAAGAACTCTCACAGTTCTTTATTTCCCCATTCAAGTTCACAAGCTGACTTGATTGTCGGAGGTACAACGGGGGAACCAAGTCACGTCCTCTCACGAGTTTCTACTTTGTGCAGGCTAAAAGCTACTTTATTCAAAACCAGATATTCGGGGAAGTGAGCGGCCCCTCATCAAACTCACCTCGAAATATTTGACTGTTTGGTTAACCATCATCGATAGGGATTAATTTGAAATAACTAAGGTCTCGTTTGGTACGTGGGAATGGGGTGGAATGGAATGATCATTCTCACTCTCATTCCTTTCTACCAAACATGCACACCCTCTTTTTTGAAGTTAGAATGCTCATTCTCACTTCTCATCAATTCCCACTTTACGTGGGAATGAGCATTCCCAATGAAGTGATAGGGAATGGGCATTCCCACTTAAGTGGGAATCAATAAAATATACAATTTTAAAATACATTCATTCTCATTTCATTTTATAAATTACACACAAACGTGAGAATGGGAATGACCATTCCATTCTCACATTAATTTCATTATATTCCTTCTTCCATTCCATTCCCATTTGAGTACATTCCCGCGTACCAAACGAGGCGTAATAGAATTTGAGAAACTAAACAACAAATTTAATGATTTGAGGTAATAGGTTGGAAATTCAAACGTGTAAGGGATCAATAAGGACAAAACCCTACAAGTAAATATGAACTCTCTTAAACATAAAGAAGAAATTTATTAGGGGATATATATGCTAAAAGCACAGTCAGCACTTAGCAGGCTTCCGAAAATACCCCTGTAGAGCCTATAAACCCTCGATTCTCCAATCCAACTGAAAAAATCCCTCGAAAAATGTCGACCACCGAAGAAATTTTAGCCAACACCGCCGTTAATGAAGACGACGACGATCCTCCATTGCTGAGCTCGCGAGCTCTGGAAGCCCTAAGAGAGTTCTTAAGCGAGCAGAGCTCAGCGAGAGACGAAGAGAAGGAAGAGGAAGTGAAGTTGGTGTCTGAGGATTGGAGATTGAGCCAGTTCTGGTACGATCGAGAGACGGCGGAGACGATTTGTGAAGAGATTAGGGTTCTGTGGGAGTCGACGGGTTCTTCGGTTGCTTGTGTTGCTTGCCCTACTCTCTACGCTTATCTCAAGGTTAAATTGATATTTGTTTGCTTTAATGGTTGAAAAAATTGAATCTTTTTGTTCATATGATGCTTCGTATCTTTGTATTACTTCTAATTCAGTAAAAATATGTAATTTGTTAGTTTTATTCCGGGGTTTGATATTGTGACTTGAATAGGAATCGGTACATACTACATAATGAAGTTAGAAACTGGATGGGGGACTTTATGCGATTATAGAGGAACTGATAATTACAGGTGCAAATTGAAATAGTATTTAGTACTTGTTACCCATGCATTGCACAGTAGTTAGCTTTACAGTGATACTAGGCTTTACGCATGACATGCACCAGAATTAGTATTACAATGTTGTTGCTTTCACAATTATAAATGAATAATGAATGTCAAGAAAGTTGATTAGATCTTTTGTTTTTATTTAGAAAGAATAGATGAAAGAAGGCATACGAAAAGGGAATAGGATAATTAATAATTGGGACGATGGAAAGTAAGTTACATGTTTAATTGAGTGCCAAATATTGCACTCCTACAATTGGTGGGGTCGTTTTATTAGTATAGTGTATATTATGGTTTTGATAGATAAATATTCCAAATGAGCACATATGGAGATCATTTACTCATTGAAATCCAAAAACAATAATGGAAACAAATAGTAGTATGAATCTAGAAAAACATAAATCTTAACTGTTGCAAGGAAGATATGTATCATAGTATAGATAGATTCCATTAGCATCTTGGGAACATCTTACAACTACGAGCATGGTTGCTCATCAGGAATAGTTGATACTTTTCTGTCCTTCAAGGCCGTACATCAGTAACCATATATTTGATTTTAGGTTAGATATTGTCAGGAGTAGCATTTGAAAAGGGGGTAGATTTGAGCCGTCTTTGGCCAGGTACAACTATCGGAGACCAGAACTGCAAGAACCCATGATTCTACTTTCTATATGTGCTTCTTTGTTTCTGGAGATCTTTGGTCCTCAAGAAAGCCAGTTTCAGTTAAAATAGAATCCATGTTGGAAGGGAAATTCTTCTTTTGATGAATAACCAGGCAATAAACTATCCGCAAACTGAGACTATGGTTTTCTTAGTTAAACTCCTTTTGCCCTTCATCATGCAATTTTATTATCCAATTGTTCTAGTGTCCTCTTACCAAGTGGAATCTGCTTTTAGTTAGTAGAATATGAGAGAATCTCCCAGTAGAGGAGTGATCATTGGCCTTTGTCTAGTGAACTTTATAATTTATGCAAAAATGTTGTGTGCTTTTCATTGAGATCCGTACCGTAGAAGACTTAAAGGGGCATATAGCCTATGACACATTGATATGTATGCCACTTCTACCTTTCAAAAAATTGGAATGTCCATCCTTGTTCAACATGACACATCTTTCCATCCGTGTCACATCACAAATGCATGATCTTTATTCACATCAAAGATATATCTATGATGAATTACCTTATTCCTGTTTGGTATAAATCATTTTACTCCTACATGTGTCCACGAGTCTAGATTTTAGGGAATTGCAGTTCTTGTAACTACTCATATGTGCCAAAAAATGCATCTTTTTATGTCTACTAATGGTTGCTGTAGTGGTTTTATTGTCAATTATGCATCTAATTCACTCTCAAAAGTTGATGTCAGCTAAAAACTTTGAAGGAAATAGAATGACAAATACTACTCTTGTCTGCCTTGATTGGTTAACGGTCATCCATCTCCTTATGAGAGATACGGTCCATGCACATCTGATTCTGAGTTACTTAAGATCTAATAGTTGATGGGAGTTCATTATGTCCACAATTTGATATCGTTAGCAGTAACCCGGATGAGCTTGAGCAATTTTTAAAGGATTTGCGCTTCACCCTAAACTTTTTGAGGATTCTCATTTTTTCATTCAGGGTCTGCCCTAGTTTTTGGTCGATAAATATCCTATCTATCAGATTGTCACTATTTCAGTTGTTATCCCATAACAAGACTGTAAAGGCAGTCAACATAATTTTGTGGCATGCTATTAGGCTGATATTGGTCTCAATGACATATAAGAGTAGTATGAGTCCATGATACATATCAGTTTAGAAGCACACGGTAACTTGTCTAGGAGACAATTCACCAACCATCTTTTTACCAAAGTAGAGCAATATAACAATGTAAATCAGGTTTGTAAAGTTTCACGAGCTGCCTTTTTTAGCTTTGTGAGAGCGCTCTTAAGTGCACCAGCATGTGAAGTTTTGCAGTACTACATACCAATTTGTCAATAACTTACTAGTAAATAGTAATATGAACCCATGTGATTGTATGACAAACTTATCAGCTATAAGATTAACCATCGTCACTTCAATCTTGATAAATTTAAAGTGAAAAGTGATCATATTATAGTTAATGAGGCAAAAAGATCTAGAGGTAAGACCTAATAGAACTTAGTTAGAAGCAATCAAGAAGGATATGATAATGCCATAATGGTTAACTTAACCGAGGAGATGGCTAGAAATCGAACGGAATGGAAGAATAGGATTCATGTAGCCGACCCCAAGCATTTGGGATAAAGGCTTTGTTGTTGTTGTTCAATTGTTATATGATTATAGTTCTTTTCGTACCTTGGGATGTAGAAAAAAAATTAGCCCAAGTGCTGCATTTTATTTGCATGTGGAGTTAATGGCTTCACATTGCAATCTTTGACAATCCCAAATCTCATAGAGGAAGCCTCTTTACTTGGAACTGCATGATGACCTAAGGCCTTAGGATATTACCTAGCTGAGAGGTTCTTGGCTTGGGGAGAATGTAAGGGGGAAGGGGAAGTGTGTATAAGTTGACAATTCAGATCCAGAAAAGAGCATGTAGGGCACTTATTTGTAATCAATTGGGGAAGTTTTTGCAAGAACAAAATTCTGAAGTATGCTGGTTAACTGCATGATGGCCTAATACCTTAGGATATTACCTATCTGAGAGGTGCTTGGCTTGGGGAGAATATTAGGGGGAGGAGGAGGGTGTATAGGCTGACAATTCAGATCCAGAAGAGAGCATTAGGGTACTTATTTCTAATCAATAGGGTAAGTTATGGTAAGAACAAAATTCTGAAGTATGCTGGTTAACTGGAAGCATCTAATTACTGCAGTAGCAAACATGATATGAGGATAAAAACACTAATGATTTGGAAGATCACCAAGTGTTCTATGCTTTGTGCAGGTGAGAAGAGCATGTAGGGCACTTATTTGTAATCAATTAGGGAAGTTTTTGCAAAAACAAAATTCTGAAGTATGCTGGTTTAACTGCATGATGGCCTAATACCTTAAGATATTACCTGGCTGAGAGGTGCTTGGCTTGGGGAGAATATTAGGGGGAGGGGGAGGGGTGTATAGGATGACAATTCAGATCCAGAAAAGAGCATTAGGGTTCTTATTTCTAATCAATAGGGTAAGTTTTTGTAAGAACAATATTCTGAAGTATGCTGGTTAACTGGAAGCATCTAATTACTGCAGTAGCAAACATGATATGAGGATAAAAACACTTATGATTTGGAAGATCACCAAAGTGTTCTATGCTTTTGTGCTGGTGAAAATGTTCTTTCTTTTTCTTTCTTTCTAACTTTTTCCTGCAATAACAAAGTGTTTAGCACATGAAATTTCAAGCGTAGTATTTGCACAACAAGAATCTGCACTTAAATTACTGGGTCTTTAAGCTTATCAATTTCTGAGCACCTTAGGATGATGTGCTCAGTGGAATGTATACCCCATGTCGATGATGCCTTGTGACTACAAGAGGAATCAAGAAAGGTACTTCAGTGCATCTACAGGAGTCTGACAGTGAACTAATAATAGTTATAATGTTATATCATTAGAGGTCCAAAACCTACAAATTTATATTTTGTCCTCGGAGCATCTATGAAAGTGCATCTTGCTGAATTAAGCCAGTGGACTGTGGCTTACGAGAAAGAATGGATTGTTCAGTGGGGAGAATGTGATGGCTATCATGAGTAACATTCTTTTCCATAACTGGTAATAGCAATGGACAGTTGTCGTACACCTTGGAAACACAAGTTGTGTGCTTCAGATTTGCAAGAGTTTCACCAAGCTTACTCATGATCAAATACACTGAACCTTATTACTTCAAATGTAAAATGGACATCAACATGCATGGCCATCTAGGAGTTGTGGCTAAGCATGAGTTACCAATATCATCCAGCAAGTGAGAGGAGCTGAAACGCTAGGAGATGGTTGTTTGAACAGGCTTGTGAGGGACAATATTGTCACATACTTTGTCATTGGAAAAATAAACACGGTTGAGGTCACCCAACATGGTTGATCGATTTTTGAGGAGATGGCATGGATTTTACATGTCAAAAGTGTTTCTTGAAGGCACAACAAAGCTGAAAATCAAATTGCTTAATTTTGTAAATTTAGAAATCATATCAAACAGGAGCTGTCTTAAGACCAGAAACTCTTATTAGGTTGCAAATCTATTTCCATCAAGCCTTACTTCCCGTGAGAATATCTGACATTGCTTCATTGCCAATTTTGTGAATCTTCCACGTCGAAAGAAGAGGACTGACGCTTCAGTTTCCCAGCAAATCATGTCAATTGAATGCTCTTAGCCACATTCAAGATTTGCTGCTTTCAGATATTGTCCATCTTAATCACCATTTGATTGTTTCTAATTGATGGAATTTCAAGGCATTGACGAGTATCTTCACTCAGGTATCTAGGGCACTTCTCTTCGCTGAAACTTGGCATGCTTGAAACTACATATGTGCTGTTAGTACATATTTTATTACTTACATAATTTCCTTCACTCTAAATACGATTTCAAATATGCAATTGCTAATTAATAGGCAACTTGACCCTTGGCAAAGCTGAAGGGAGAAATAATTATATTTATCATGCAACAAAATATGGTTAATAGTTTTGTTGTTTTAATTGGTTGCAGAAACAACTCAACAAGTACCAGAGATTTCCTTGTTTATTATTTTACTCTTTAGATTCTTCCTCATACAACACAAATCAAACTTATATATGTTAATTAATGAGAATTCATAAACGAGGCACATAAGATGCCTGTTCATACTTTTTTTTCACTCTATCCATCGACTTATGACAGCCATAAGGGAAGTATTTTGATATGTTCACTCTGCAAACATAGGTGATAAATCCTCTCTGAAGAAAGCCTGGTATTCAGTTATTACAAGTTACAACCTTAAAGTTGGATCATATTCATTTCAGATCAAAGTTTTTCTGCTGACCTGATATCTTGCTGGCTCTAACTTTGCTATTAATTGACATCTTTGTCAAAATTTCTGATTGCAGAGAAATGCTCCTAACATCTCGGTGCAATTACTTGAGTATGATAAACGCTTTGAACAATATGGGAGTAATTTTACATTCTATGACTACAATCAGCCTGAAGATTTGCCACTTGCATTAAAGCATGCCTTCCAGATTGTTGTCGTGGACCCTCCTTACCTGGTGAGATTGTAATCAGAATTTAGAAATTTGACGAATTGGTAATTCATGCAAAGTTTCATATTCGAAGGGTTTTAACTGCTTGTGGGTTTGGAGACGCTAATTTGATTGAGCCCATAACCAGTTTGATATGTAATTACTGCTTCATAGAAACTGGATATGACAAGAAAAAGAGGAGCAGGAAATATTAGCTGTAGAACAAATGCAAAAAAGAAAAACTTAAAAAATGCCATAAGCGCAACAATTTCAAAAGAATGGGCATTCTCTGAAATAGGGTTAAAAAATTCATTTCAAGAAAAAAACAAGAAGTATTAAAACATAAAAGGGATATTTTTGTGCTTCCCCGCATATGCTGCTCTCACATGCACTTGCACTTACAGAGACAATCATGAGAACACAGAAATACTGCATGGAAAATGGAATGGAGGCCGTTGAAGCTATAACATCTGGTGAAAATAAGCCCTAAATATTGAATATATCAAAAAAGAAAAAGAAAATGATCACCATTTTTAAAATTTATTTCATTTATTTTCGCTGTTCTATTTTTTACAAAAACCCATTAGTCAAGCAGTTCTGTTAAAATGTCATGCATAGCTAAGAATAGTTTCGTGAAGGGAGTACTGTCAATGAATATCTGTAATTTTACTGGTGATTTCTTTACTTATAAAAATTGTAGACAGTTTGATGTGAAAACATTTTATCATGAGCTACGGAATGGACCACTTTTTGTCTTACAATTTTTTTTCAAACATTGATTTCATCATGTTTTCTGTGCAGAGCAAGGAGTGCTTGGAAAAAGTAGCGCAGACAATTTCTTTCCTGGCACAACCGCAAAAATCTTATTTGCTGTTACTCACAGGTATACTTGTCTCTCGTTCCCTTTCATTAACCTTCAAGTTCCAAGAGTTAAAAGCCTGTAAAAAAGCTAGCATAGTTTGTTTTTTCTTTTTGCTTGTACCTGCATTTCGAGCCCTTTAATCATTTTAATCAGGTTGACACCTATCTTAGGGATAGTATTGTATTCATTCCATTTGGCACAACACTGTTATTTTCCCCGTGTGTTTTGGCACAATTTATATAAAATTTCTCATGTACCTGGGAAGAGGATGAGAGGTATACCCAGAATTGGAAACAAATTGTGAAAGAGGAGAGATGTTACATCAGAAAGTGTGATGCGAAACAATGTGATGCAGGTATGAAGATTAACAACAGCAATGCTTCGCCAAATCAGCGATCGATCTAGGCAGGAAGCTCATGAATAAAGTGTAGCTTTTGATGGGTTTTAAGCAAAAGTTGCAATGTACTAAGTTCAAATCTTTGTAAATGATCCAGAAAATAAATGTAATGATTCGTTCTCTCAATACAGTTCAAAGTGTAATATTTGGATAAGTAAAAATACTTAGCAACAGATTCGCTCGCTCACTTAGTCAAACTGATTACAGCACAAATACGATCGATAGTAATATTGATAACAACATGCAAGCAATAGCAGTTCCGAAAATAATTGGGCGAAAGAAAGTTGAACCTTCGTCGGGTTGAACTGGTTCGACGGGAGGATCCTCTGGAGGTGGTTCAACGACGCCAAATATGAGGGGTGGAAGCTCTCCACCGAGGGCAGCGTAATTCGGATGGAGTGGTGTATCTGGATGGAAACGCCGATGCCACGAACTGATTCCCAAACTACTCTCTACGCTGTCAACGATCTGATGAGTCACACGCTCAACGTACTCGGGTACGCTCTCGAATGACTGATAATCAAACCACGGGGAAAGCTGTAAATCTGCGATGCCGGTCTCTGGATCTAGCACGATTCCGTCATCTGCATCAGGATCTGCCATACACCATCAATTGTAAAATCAGGGATCAAATGGTTGAATCTGACTCAACTAGCTTCAACAACTCCGGATTGGGTCAAGTGGGTCTGGTCCACACTTGACTCAAATCAAATGGGTTGGTTGAGTGAATAGGGACTCTGCTTTAAATCACTCAAGCCAAATAGTCTTCAATAGGATCTGGATCTGAGGACAAGCGGAAAAGGGGGAGCAGGAACGAATCGACGCTCGACGAATGAGGACGGCGCTTGAGTCGGGATGGACGGCGCTCGGATCGGAGTGAGCGGCGGTCCAGGCGGCGGTGCTGACTGGGCGGGACTGGACGAGGAGCTCGAGGATTCTGGGCTGGCTGGTCGTCGTCGCGGGGAGAGACGAAGACTTCGTCGGCGATGATGGTTCAGGTGCGGTTGCAGGGGATTTGAAGGGGAGGCGGTCGGATTTGGGATGGCGGTGGTTGCTCGCGTCGGGGGATTCGGGCGGAGGGAACACCGGAGGCGGACGAAGGGGAAGGCCGTCGGTGGAGGAGGTGGTGATTGCTGGAGTCGACGGAGGAGGGCGGCGGTCCGGTGGTCTTCGGGTGTGGTTGCTGCGGTTGTAAGGGGAGGACTGTGTGGGTTTGATTGTTTGCTTGGAGGAGAAGATGAACAGTATCGGATTTGATTTTCTTTTGTTTTTATTTTGTGAAGAGATTGACGGCTGATCAAAATCAATAAGCTAGGGTTTCACACCATTATTTAGCAAATCAATTTCATTCATCAGTAATTTTCCAAACTGATTACAGGAGAGTTTAAATAAAGCAAATTACAGTTTTGGAAAATCCTCTCAATCCCTCAAATCTCTCTCTTAACCAATTACAATCAATCAGTTGGTTAACTACCAAATAAAATCAAAATTCGAAATTCAAAAATTCAAAATTCAAACTAATTATTACAACTTGAAATCAAAACCATAGTGCTGAAATATTGCGCCTCCTGCGCTGATAAACTCGGCGAAAATCTCGTGTATGAGTCCGGATGTCCCCATCA